AGTAAAAAGTCGCCATAAAAATAAGTAGTAAAGTAAAGTAAAAATATCAGAAAAATCTACTTGAGTACAGTAACGAAGTATTTGTACTTTGTTACTTCCCATCTCTGCTTTTCACACTTAACCCGGCAACAATAGAACATTTACACCGATTGTCCCCTGCAGGTTGCAGTACTGCCAGGGCCAAAGATTTAACTGATCAATCTCTAAAGAATTATTTCTGCAGGAAATGTCTAATTCTCGCCTTCTACGGCCAGTTAGAGGGTCCCTATAAATCTGAGGAGACCCAACTGACCCGCAACAATCCTCCTAAACAAACATGTAGAGACATAAATGCTCTAAAATAACTAAAGGAGTTTTTTAATTAATTGTTCAATAAAAAAAAAAGAACCAATGAAAGAAATCAATAAAAACCCAGAGAGACGTGACAATCAGGTCACCATCATGCCTCTATTCAGAGAAAAAGAACATTTGAAATATGCTTTATGGACCTCAGTAAAACGATCCTTTTTGTTTTCCAGGTGGAGGAGGTTAAGAAGATGAAGATCGGTGATCCGCTGGACCGCTCCACAGACCACGGCCCTCAGAATCACAAAGCCCATCTGGACAAACTGTTGGAGTACTGCCAGATGGGTGTGAAGGAGGGGGCCACCCTCATCTATGGTGGCAAACAGGTGCAGCGAGCAGGTGAGCAGCAGGACCTGGAAGGTCACCACCTGGACTGTATTGTTGTCCTGGGAGTAAAGCTGTGGTTCGTTTTCCCTCCTGCTTCCAGGGTTCTTCTTTGAGCCCACGGTGTTTACTGATGTCCAGGACCACATGTTCATCGCTAAAGAAGAGTCTTTTGGTCCAGTCATGATCATTTCCAAGTTCAGGAGCGGGTAAGCTACAACCTAAGGCTTCTCTGTGCACCTTATCAGATCATACACAGAGAGCATTTTGATCTGGTGGTTTTCTCCTCCCGTCTTCCCTCAGCGAGGTGGACGATGTCCTCAGGAGGGCCAATGCTACAGAATACGGCCTGGCTTCAGGCGTTTTCACGCGGGACATCAGCAAAGCTCTGTACGTTAGCGAGCGGCTCAACGCCGGCACCGTTTTCGTCAACACTTACAACAAAACGGATGTGGCCGCACCTTTTGGAGGATTCAAACAGTCCGGATTTGGCAAAGACCTGGGTGAGGGAACATCGATGGCGTCACATTTAACCACAACACTTGGACATGGAGGTTGACCGTCTGTCTCTGTCCACAGGTCAGGAGGCCCTCAACGAATACCTGAAGACAAAAGCTGTGACCATCGAGTATTAAGGGAGCTCCCAGTAGGGGGCAGTATATGGAGCAGATGGTGTGTTAGGATGCAGACATAATGATTGTGCCTCAACATGCTAACGAATCCAAGAGAAGTAAATCCGATCAAACTTTGGGACTGAGGCGTGTCGTAAGCTGCAGCGGGTCCGGCTCGTCCAGAACCATGCAGATCAAAGCTGCTCGCATTCTTAATTTCACTGAAGACGCCGAGGGACCAGATCTCTGTCCGATCGAACAAGTTTATATTGATCCATCAAACCAGAAACATTAGAAAGCTAACAGTCCTAACAAATCTTGATCATGATTAAAACCTTTTAAACCACTTATCATCGCTTTGTTCTTTCTCTGTTGCTAATGCAGATATAAACTAACTAGAATGGTACTGAACTCAACAACCAAACAATTCTCAATGATACAAAAACATCTGATTAACTTCAGTTCAGCCATACGGCACCAGCTTTACAAGAGACGCCAGTTTAGATTGAAAACATATAACATTAGTTGAATCCAGTCACACAGAAAGTTTTAAATTAAAACATATATTTCCAATCAGTCCTTTTCATCATACAGTGCAGTTAAACTCAGCTGATAAAGCCAATAATTAAAGGAAACTTTGCTTTGCAGCAAGCACCTTTACCCAAAGAAACATGGGTAGCAATCTCCTGCAGAGCTGGGTTCACAGAAGGAAGCCGTCTGCCACCAGAGGGCAGAGCAGAGTCCTGAAATCAGCACATAGAGCACTGATCTAGGAGCACTTTCTACATTAAAGTCAAAACTTTATGGCAACACTGGATAAAAACACAGCTGAACAGATCAATTCACTGGAGCTATAGAAATAAACTGCACTTTATAGAACTGCACCCTGATTTCACTTTATAGATGCAGATTAATCAGATCATCCAATCAGAGTAAAGATTAAAAGTTTCTACTGAAAGAAAACCAGCTGATTGCTTCCAGTAGTTCACTTTGGAGGATGCTCTCCTCCTGGATATGAGCATCTAGAGACTCGAGATATTAGACTGACTCTTCAGCAATCCCCTTACACCAAGCATGCAGCAACAGTGGAGAGGAAAACTTCCTTTGTACAGGAAGAAACCTCCAGCAGAACCAGACTCAGTGTGAGCAGCCATCTGCTGAGGCCCACTGGGGTTCAAGGAGACATAGAAAAAGAAACATAGAAAAGGAACATAAAAGCCCTGATTTATAAACACTTTCTATGTTAGACAAGCTAACAGTAAACTAGCTCCACAGGTGGCCTTCTGGGAAAAGTTAATCAGATGAACTCTGAGCCAGTTTTCAGGTCAAAGGATGAAACAGAGAACATCCAGCTGTCCCAGTAAAGCTGAGCCCAGAGCTATCGGAGAGAAACAGGACTAAAGACTGGAAAACAGGCCAAGCTCCAACATCTAGAAACAAAGGTGTTGATGGCAGCAGCACAGCTGATATTTCTCTCCAGGATGGAGTCACAGCCA